AGTGTCCCTGGATTTGTTTCTCTAGTCAACCCGACCTAACACACATGGTAAGCCCTTAATGAGTGGTGGTGTCTAGTCCCTCTTCTGTCAACGGGAGTCAGGAGGAGGTTCATCCAGGAGAGGGAGTTTGTACCTGGCGCATCAGAGGAGGGTCGATGTTTCTGAGTGGGCGGGAGAGCCGAGGGAGGTCGACAGGGAAGGGTGACAGCAGCATGGGCTCTGCGGTGCTGTCAGAGCGGAAGGGGAGCTCACAAACCAGATGATGCTACAGACCCCTGTCCAATAAAGGGTGAGTGTGGCAGAGACAGGCTCATTTTGGTTTGGGGAAGATGCGTTTCATGGCCGTGGGGGAATGAGAGAGAGGGAAGGGAGGGCAGTGATGAGGCCATGGGCCCCCTGAGATGCGGGGGATGTCCGGGTAGGGCTGCTGAGCTCGGAGGTTGTCAGGAGAGGGGATACTAGGAAGGAAAATGTGAAGACTACTGAAAGTCCCATGGACTGCCAAGAGGACGGACAGAATTGTCTTAGAAGTACAGCCAAAATCTCTGCTCCTTAGAGTCAAGGAGGGTGAGGTTTTGTCTCAAGCACTTTGGACATGGTGTCAGGAGAGACCAGACCCTGGTGAAGGGCACCACTCTGGGTAAAGCAGAAGGACAACGAAAAAGGGGGAGGCACTAAAGGAGATGGGTTAGCACAGTGGTTGCAACAATGGGCTCCGGCATAAAAACAATTGTGAGGATGGCGCAGGGCTGGGAAGTGTTTTGTTCTGGGAAGCCTTTGTTCCACAAGGTCCCGATGGGTTGGAAATGATTTGATGGCACCTAACAACAACAACAACATAGCCTGATCTGTATCACTCCAAAGGGTAATTCAGGCCCCGGCTCCCAGGACTGGGAATGTGGCCTTGTTGGGCGACAGGGCCTCTACTGACGGCCAGCTGCACGTGATCACGCTTCACAGACATGGTGTTTTGCTTTTTAAAAAGAAAATCAAACTGAGGGCTCGTGGCCACCCTGCATCATGCACATTGACCGGCACCGTTTTTTCTGAGGACATGAGCTCAATTCATGTCTCTGTCATGTCTTAGTTCAAAGATTTCCCATCATGCTCTCTTTGCATGGTTCATAGATTACAAAACACAAAGCCCCTGTTGTTGGGACAATTCCTGCTCTGAGCTGCTCCAAGGCGTCTCCCAGGCTGGAAAGCTTTATGGAAGCTGACTGCCACATCGTACTCCCACGGAGCAGCTGGTGGATTTGAACCACTGATGTTACACTCACTGAGCCTCCAGGGATCCTTCATTGACTTGAGTCTAATGGGAACATAACTTGGATCTGCATGGGGACACCAAAACTTTCATATGGCTTCCTTTATTGTTGATATTCAATTTGTCATGATAGCCTGAACCCAAATCACAGCATCTCCAAGGGCTACCTGTGATTAGTTCAGTTCCCATAATGTTACACAAGAGTAGGGTGGGTCTGAACCCGAGGTGATTCTTTCAGAACTAGATTCTGTCTGTCTTTTAGCATCCATGCATCCAACGGTCCATCCCTGCATCCATCCATCCCTACCTTCATCCCTGCATCCATTTATCCCTACATACATCCATCCCTGCATTCATCCATCCATCCATGCATGCAGCCCTGCATGCACCCATCCATCCATGCATGCATGCATGCATCCATCCATCCATCCATGCATCCATCCATCCCTGCATTCATCCATCCATCCATGCATCCAACCATGCTTGCCCTCACCCACTCATGCCCCATGGAGCATCTGCTTGGTTCGCTTCAGGCATGCACCTCCTGCCGCTCTCCCTTCCAACACTCCCATAGCCCAGGCTCAGAACTGGCTCTGGCTCCTGTCCGGAAGAGAACAGTCATCAGTTTGGGGAGTCAAAGTGCCCCCATACTAAGGGCTTGGAGCGGTGAACTCTGTCTAGGGGGCTCTGAAGGGAAAGCCAGGAAACACCTGGTAGAAATGGCAAGTGTCTCAGAAGTGGTGGCCCTGGCAGTGAACGCCCTGGAGGATGAGCAGAGTTTGTGGAGGGGCATTCCAGATGGAGGGCACAGTGTGAGCAGAGGGAAGGAGGGGGGCGGCCAGTGCTGGCTGCATCCAGGGAGTGGGGTCTGCTTCAGGAGCAGGTGCCCTGCACCTTCTTTCTCTTCTACATCATCAGACACCTCGGTCATCCTCAGAAGCCCCCCAGCGCCAGGCCTTGGCTTCTCATTTGGAGGGGAGGTAGTCATGAAACACCAGAGGTGTGAGGACGGTAAATGCTCTGACCCAAGTTAAATGAACAGCAAACAGCTGAGTCCCTGATCAGCCATGCTCTACCTACCAAGACCCATCCAGAGGGACTTCGGAAGAGAGGCTTTATGACCTTCTCCAAAAAAAAACCAGCCTGTGAAAGCCCTGTGGAGCACAGTTCTGCTCGGACGCCACCAGGATCGACTCCAAGCCCAATGCCTTGGTCCTATGGACTTTGTGTACTTCCTTACTCACCAGATGCTGTTGAACCAGAATCTCGGTGCACGGCAACCCCTGTGGGTGTCAGAATAGAGCTACACGCGATAGGGTTTTCAATGGCGGATTTGGGGGTGGGAGGGAAGTAGAGAGCCAGGCGTTTCTTCTAAGGCACAGCTGGGTGAATTCAAACCGCCAATCTTCCAGTGAGCAGCCCAGAGACTTCATGGTACACACAACACATTTCTCTGCCATTGGGTTCACGGACCATCTCAGAGGGTCGCCAGGACCCTAGGCTGCCGTGGTTAGGCGCCATACAGTGGGTTCTGACCTAGAGCAACCCTATGCACAACAGAACACAGCACTGGCTGGTCCTGCGCCAGGCTCACAGTAGTTCCTGCATCTGAGCCCATCATTACAGCCACAGAATCACTCCATCTCCTTGCGGTCGTCCTCTTTTTCATCCCCCCACTTGACCAAGCATGACGTTCTTCTCCAGGGACTGGTCTCTCCTGACAACAGGTCCAAAGAGCATGAGACGCTGGCCTTGCCTCTGAGGAGCACGCTGGTCGTATCTTTTCCAAGCCAGATCTGTTTGTCCTGTTAGCAGTCCACGGTTACTTTCAGTATCCTTCGACGTAACCACTATTCAAATGCATTGACCATGAATTCTGATTCCGTTTAACCAAAAAGCCAGTGGCATCTATTGGATAGGAAAGTAAGAACCTCTCTCTGGAACTGTCCCTCTGGCCTCTTAGAATGCTGGGCCCCCTCCAAAGTCCAGCCCAGAATTGCATGCTAAGGTGGGGGGAGGGGGGAGAGGGGAAGAGCCAGCCTGGGTTGAGCTGAACCTGGAGTGGGAGGAAGAACTAGTTCTTAGTTACTAGAGTCTTTCAGGAGTGACTAGTATGCTTAGTACACGGCCTAGCTTTGCCTAAGACAACCAAGCCCATGGGTTCACGGACAACGTCTTATTGAAAGCTTCCTGAAGCTGCTTGCTGGGTGCACAGACAGGGCCATTGGTGTCTGGGGTGAGGGTGGGAGCCCACAAGCAAGCACACAGTCCCTTGGGCTCTGCGATCAGAACAAGACCAGGGTCCCTAGGTGTGAAAAAGAAAAGAATTCGAGTAAGTTTTACTGATGATACAGGAATAGTGTGGTTCACTTTGTCCAGTTGCCTCTGCAGGGCCGAAAGACCAGGTTTTGGTGACTGATCATCAGCAGGAAATCTACTTTGAAGCAGGCCTTTGGGACTCTGCTCAGCACCTTCCTTACCCACAGACCTAAGCCGGCCAACAGGGCAGTGATGTGAATGGCTGAGGGTGGTTAACCACGCCAGTGTGGTAACAGGCTGCAAGCATTAACCCCGGGCGATGGGGCTGGGTTTCTGAAATCTGACCTCAGCAACTGTAGTTATAATTGTTCCTGGTTGACCTCGCCTATTTACGAATTTTTAATACTTAAAAAGTCCAGTGACAGCTGTTGAGAGTTTAATTGGCTGTGTTTAAAGAGTGCGGGGAGGGGGAGGGAGAAAATCATTAAGGGTCCAGATAAGAGATCAGTTTTCATACTGTTTAAACAACATGGAGGCCACCCAGCGGAGGCGAACGCAAGGTCCCAAATCCCAGAGTCGGTGTAGGTAGGCGAGAGGGGTGCAGGCGTTCAGAGCAGCACAGAGAGGTAGAGGCAGGGCAAGAGGAGAGGGGGAGGAGGAAGCAACGAGCAGAAATGATAAAAAATAATTCTAAAAGGCCTTTCCTCCACTCCCACCCCAGCTGGAAAAGTATCATTCACCCTGTTTTAGGCCAGGTACCCCAACGGAGGGGATAGGGGAGCCCCACTTCTCGGATATGCTGAGGGAGGAGCGAGGGGGTAGGACAGGTCGGCACCCATTCTGCACAGCTCGGCCCGTTCCGAGCTCGGGGGCCCCGTGGACCGGGCCG